GGCACCTTCATGTTCCTCTCTACTTTGCCTTCGCTGCCACCAAATTGCCAGTCCGTCAAATATCAAGCCCATACTTCCTCCCTGTCCAAACTTCTGGGCCCTGGAGAGATCCGTCTGTTAATCTGGTGGGAATCTTGAACGAGGCCATTGAACGGGAAAAAGACTGACAAGAGATCCTCAACTAGACACGATAGACCCCCAACGGATCTCGCACGGTCGACCAGCTTCTTTCATCAGCCTGGGCTTTGGCTTCCCTCGTCACTGCCTGGGTTTTCTACAGAATCAGCGGCGGACTATTCAATCCCGCAGTGACGCTCGGTATGGTGTAAGATACTTCCAGCCCTTTATTTCCCTACAGTCTCCCATCTCGAGAAGAGAATGCTAAGCTGTAGAACACCCAGCATTACAGGGACTCTCCCAGCTTTTCGCGGTGCGCTCCTTTTCCCCGCTCAGATGCTTGGAGGGATAGTGGTGAGTAGCGAGGCCCCCTCTCTCGATCGAAACAAACCGAACGACGCGGCTGGACTTATATTGCAAACCGTATTCAGAGGTCCCCGCGACGTCAAGCGCTGATTTAGAAACGTGGCAGGCAGCGGCCCTTGTCCGGTGCATGTTTCCCCGGTACACCTGCATTCACTACAACTTTGGTATACCGACGGAACGTCCATCGCCCAGGAATCTTCATCAGAGATGTTTTTGATAGTAGAACTTGAACTTCACGGTGTTGAGTGTTAGCTGCCGAGAAGGCAAAGCGTAAACTTTCATTGCGCCAGGTAGGTGCTCTTAATGATTGTCTTATTTCCAGACCACACCCTTCTGGTGCCCTGTACCCTCCAACTGCCCAGAAAGGCACCGCTGATCCTGAGTATTCTATTAGTGGGCATCGGGCTTGCCTTGTTTGTGGCGGAACTTGCAGGTATGCTCATCAATAGAACAGGACCGAATTCCGTGAACAACGATTGACGCACATGGCAGGTGTATACTTTACCGGAGGCTCTTCTTAATCCTACCTGGTCATTCGGTCCGTGTGTTGCCACTGCGGAATTCCCAGGTTACCATTGGATATACTGGGTTGGGCCGTTTTTGGGTGCTCTGATCTCTGGCGGATACTACAGATTTGTCAAGTTCAACAATTATGAGGAGGCAAATCCTGGGCAGGACGATTCACATCATCCGCAAGACAACCCGGAAGGCAAAGATGAGTAGGCTGGAGCCACCGTGGAATTTTGGTCGACGTTTGAGTTGCCAATCTGGCATGATTTCTCTGGAATGGAGTTACATACGATATTTCACACATGTTCACTTTTAGTCATATAATTTGATTCTGGCGTGTCGTTTGCCCTCATATCTGGCTTCATATCTGAGCCTACATCTGCATCTGACAGGCGTCTGTTGCTCAGCGGGTGCGCTTTGAAGGAAAAGCTGTTCGGACGGCCCGCTTGGAAAAGGGGCATATATATTCAGAAATAGATCAGACGTTGGGAGACTGGGAGACTCATTGAATCTACAGTCGTCGTGTCTTGCTGCGAATTGTGGCATGCGCGCTACCAAGAGGGGTGGCTTTATGATGGTACCAAACCGCTTAAGCTTGACAAGCTTCTGTGCTCATGGAATATCTTACTGAGCGACTCCTACCCAAATTTGGGTATGCAAGATGTAGAGCACTTACTACTGCCAATTCTTCCAACAGCTTGACTGGCGGAAGAGCTTTGCAGAAACATTACACGGTACCTAGCCGGTGGAGCGTGAGGGGGCTAATAACAGTATATTGGATGTGTAACTGGACGCTATGGATCTGGGGTTTCACGCCGATTGAAAAACTACAGGTGATAAATCCAGATTTAATTAGATTCTAGAAACATATAAAGAATTTTGACCGTAATTTCGTGGAAATATATAAAAGCATCCGCACAGGAACCGTAAATCTAGTACTTTATACACCATGCGTCTCTACTTTAGGGAGGGCTGATCATGTGACTTCGCATTAGGGCATAACGCGTCCGCGTTTCACTCCGAACTTGTGTCTTTTCCACATCACTACATGGACGTGACGCAGAGTCATGACCAAAGCCTCTACAATGGTCGGAAAACCATTCCGAATCCCATTGCTCAGAAAGACCGAGGAGTCTGGTGACAATGACGGAGGCTCCGAGCCCCAAGCAAAAAAGAGGCGGATCAGCAGCGACAAAGGGGACGGGGTAAAGACGATGGGGCCTCAATTGGTTTTCAAAACCCCTGGAATATCTTCAGTTCCACGCAAGCCACTTTTTAGCAGTCAAAAACCCCGCAGTAGCCACAGAGTCACTCGACGGAGGGTCCGAGGTATACTACAATGTTCTTTGGTACGTACTTCTTCATGATGAACTCACTGATCGCTAACGGCGTTCTCCGTACAGGCGGAAGTATACGACCAAGAAGCACAAGACCTGGGATGGTGATGGGGTGCTAAAAGTCACTGGCGGGCATGCCCATCTCCAGGACACTTCAGGACGTGATATGGGAAAAGCATCTTGCGATTGGCCTCTGCTTCCTGGCTCCCAGCTATCGATAGGGGGAAAGGAGGTAGAAGTCGATTCCATCCTCTCAAAAGAGGATTCCTTGGCCGGTCGACCATTCCTGAAGTCAAGCATCTTGAAGTTTACACCAGAGTTTGTACAAGTACCCCTACCAAACCCAAAGCCGAGGCCAGACTCGAAGGCGGCTCTCCTACAGCAGAGCGAGGAAACGAAGAAGCCACTCAATCTGGCTGCGCCGAGAAGTGTAGCTACCCAAGCAATGTTCAAGAATCCATTACTAGCAAGCACTGTAATGCCTAAGCAGGAACCCAACGAGCCAACACCGCGCCATGATCCAACCGCCGCACAAGCAATAGTCATGAAGCGTCCCAAAACCGTGCCGAAAGGAAAACAGGTCGTGGATGTTGTGGTCGATCCACTTCTTGCGAAACACCTACGGGAACATCAACGTGAAGGAGTCAAATTCATGTACGAGTGTGTGATGGGCATGCGTGACTTTGATGGCCAAGGTGCAATCCTAGCAGACGAGATGGGCTTAGGCAAAAGTCTGTCGACTATCGCGTTGTTATGGACGTTGCTGAAGCAGAACCCTATCTGCGACGGTTCGCACAATCCGCCGCCTGTCATCAAAAAGGCTCTGATAGTATGTCCCGTTACTCTGATAAACAATTGGCGCAAGGAATTTCGCAAATGGCTTGGGGTTGACAGACTTGGTGTTTACGTCTTTGACGGTAGCAAGAAGCATATCACAGGCTTTACTACAAGCAAAGCTTATCCCGTTGGGATCATTGGGTATGAAAAGCTAAGGACTGTGGTCGGGGATCTGAAGAAGGGCCATGGAATCGATATTGTGATCGCTGACGAGGGCCATCGTCTGAAAACAGCCAAGAATAAGAGCGCACAAGCCATCAAATCTCTGAACACCTCAAAGAGAGTTATCCTATCTGGGACTCCTATCCAAAATGATCTGAGCGAATTCTTCATGATGGTCGACTTTGTTAACCCGGACCTACTGGGATCATTCAAAACGTTTACCAAAGAATTTGAATTTCCGATCGTGAAAAGCAGACAGCCTGGCGCTTTGAGGAAAGATGTTGAGAAAGGCGAAGCAAGAAGCGAAGAATTAGCCTTACTGACCAGCATGTTCATACTTCGCCGGACTGCTGATATACTCTCGAGATACCTACCGTCAAAGACGGAGTATATCCTTTTTTATGCCGCCCAACCGCGGCTCAGGTGTCCACCTACCACCATGTCCTCGCTTGCCCGGCATTCCAGAGGTTGTTGGGAAGCCCAGAGGCCTCACTTCAGCTCATCACTGTCCTCAAGAAGGTTTGCAACAGCCCGTCGTTGCTCAATGGCAAAACTCTTTCAGATCCTTCGGTGGCGGTGAGCCCCTTGACAGCCGGACTTCTGGCCAGTGTTCCCCCTCATCTACTTCGCACCAACGCTGGTAGTACCAAACTACGGGTCCTTGATCAACTTATGCACAACCTTCGGACTACTACCCGAGAAAAAAATCGTTCTCGTCTCCAACTACACCGCAACCCTCGACCTTCTGCAAACACTTCTCACCTCACTCTCCTATCATTACCTCCGCCTTGATGGCTCCACCCCATCCTCCAAACGCCAAGAACTTGTAGACGCTTTCAACCGCTCGTCAGCCTCCGAGTGTTTTGCCTTCCTCCTGTCCGCCAAATCTGGTGGGGTTGGCCTCAATTTGATCGGCGCCTCCCGCCTCGTTCTTTTCGACGTAGACTGGAACCCTGCCACAGATCTCCAGGCAATGGCAAGGATCCATCGCGACGGACAGAAGAGGCCTTGTGTCATCTATCGCTTTGTCATGGCTGGAGGATTGGACGAGAAGATCTGGCAGAGGCAGACGACGAAATTGGGCCTCGCTAACAACATCATGGACCAGAAGGGAGGGACTAGTAATTTCACAAAGGAAGAACTCGAGGACCTTTTCAGACTCGACGAAGGGTTGTCCTGTCAGACTCATGATCTGCTCGGCTGTTGCTGCGAGGGGCGAGGTCTACCGGCCCCTTTCCCCGTCGACGAAGAGCTGACAGAGATCTTGGACAGCGATGATGAGGTGAGAGAGGAGGAAATGCCGGATCTACCTCGGCTCATTCAGGCAAACAACCTTGACATGGAAGAGCAAGAGCGAAAGATCAAAGAAGATGCGCGTTCTTCCCGAAATCAGAAGGATGGTGCGAAGATGGATTTGCTGATGGCTTACTCACACGTTGATACTTCAAATTTCTCAAAGGAAGATGATGACGATATGGAGGCTTTGGTTCATGACAAGGTGTTGCTCGATGTGTTGAAAGATGAGGGCAACAGGGTATCGTTTGTCTTTGCTAAGACCTCTGGCTGAAGCGTACGAGGGGTTATGGGTTAGAGTTGGCTTTGGCATAGCGCTGCTTTAGATGGCGCTTAGGAGCGAACACTAGATGGCATATTCTTCTGCTTGGGATTTTGGCATTATAGAAGGTCGAACAGTTTATGGCAACGGGCTTCCTAGAACATATAGGACGTACTCACTTATAAGTGGCTACGGTGGATGGCTTTGCATCCAAAATTTACCGCATTGATATGAAGTCCTCTCTGCTGAGAGCATCTCCTCACCCTCTCTGGTCTGGCTGTCTCTCGTCTAAGCCTTCAAAGATGCCTTCGAGTCCTACATGCACCCTCAGCTCTTTTTCGCCCAAAAGCTCATATATGCCTCTCAAATCTGCCTCACCCATCACCTTCTCGCCTTTCAGATGCTCAAAGGCAAGCATATACAAATCTTTGACCCAAGGGCAAGCCCTCAGGCCTCGCCAGAATACCTTTTTCGCTCTCTCAGCCTCAGATCTCGAGTGTTCAAATAGAAAATACAATTTCCATAAGCCCGCGCAGTGTGTACCGCTATCGCTCTCGACAGCACGTTCGAAGGTACTGCGGATGGTGGAAATATTGCTGCCGAACGTAACACCGCGGTGCAATTCCGAGTATATGGCGAAGAAGTGTGGCACCACACTGTCTTGGACTTTATTCTTTGTGTTACCGCTACCACCGAGGACAAGCTCCTTAACAACAGAGCGTACTCGATCGTCGATGCGAAAACGAGCTTCGTTCCAAGCGTAGAGGGAGAGAAAGATGGTATTCTGCGGGAATTGAGCTATGTTTTCCGTAAGGAGTGAGCGAATATCCGATGGCTTGAAGAGATGAGTATGAGTGGCATGATAATAAAGGAGTCGGGCAAAGGATTGGTGGAGGTGCTCGTGGTTCGAAGATTTCGAAGAAACATGGGTGGAGAGAAGAGCGATGTTTGACTTGAAGGCCGAAGTCGCTGCGGTTAAGGATTGGGCGTTTCTCAGATATGCGAACAGGATCAGGCATTCGATGGCAAAGGCTGCATGAGTGTATGAGCTCAACGATAACATATGATCGCGAATGGCAATGAGAGCCTATGAGGTGTTAGCATGATCCAATATTCGACGGCGATAGTTCTACCCTTTCTGTTCGAAGCAGCAGAGCCGGCTTTGCTAAACCCAAGTCATCTAGCGGATGCAGTTCCGGAAAAGGCATATGGATCTCTTCGTCTCCAATAGCCAAAAGCCGCACCAAAGCTTCTTGCGCCGATTTTGCACTTAGCGTCTCCCATATCCAGGTGCGCCACAGCAGTATGGAATCTCTTTGGGAGACCTCGTCGAGTTTCTTGCCCATATTAAGTGACGTAGTGATGATACCTTCACCTTTCTGGGTACCGGCCAGGCGATACTCAATGAGCGCATACGCATTGTAGATGCAGATGCTAAACGGTCGTTTCCTCAATATGTTCTTCGCAGTTTTTCTTACTGTTCCTGGTGAGGTCCTTAGCTCTAAGGCGAGAACATATAACGCAACGGCTTCTTTCCCTGCATCTACACTCATGAGCGACTTGAGTGATCGAAATGTCCATGCCACCTCTACTGGGCCGCCATCTCCAAAACATTGCTCCTGCCATGTATCAAAGGCGGAAAACCACTGCCTTTCGGCAAATAGGGAGTCCGACGAGACCTGATAGTCTCGGACAGGGAACTGAAAGGGATCTCGCGTGCCCGAATGCAACCGAGCATCCTCCTCATCAATGCTATTTTGTTCCTCTGAGCCTCCATGTTGTTTTGGGAAACGCAACTTCCATGAGTCCTGGAGCTTGCTATTCAACCGTAGAGCATCATTACGGAGAAAACAGTCTCTTCCCCAGACCCTCGAATGACTATCAGGGCCTTCCGCAGCAAAAGGTGGAAGACAACAGAACGCAGTGAAAGCGTCTAAGATCAGTTGCTGACATGCAAGCGACGGCGGATCAATGAGGAAAGGCCGAATATCCGAAAACAGAATAATCCTATAGGGATCGTTCTCCTCTATATCATCAATAGTACGGACAGGGTTTCGGGACAGCAAACTACGACTTTTCTCCAAAGCAAGCCACGACTTCCAATGATCCTTGCTGTCTTCGAGGTCATCTGCCCTTTCGTTTCTTGGCTGCGGCGGCTCCCCTTGCTTTTGGGAGAAGCTTGCCCAACCTTCAGCGCCCTCCTCACCAATCCGTGGGACTTCGCTATCCCAGAATTCTTCAAACATGGATACAGTGGCTTCATGAGAAGACCGATCCTTATTATGGTCGCTAGTCTGGAAAAAGTTAGGTTTAAAGAAAACGAATTCCAGCAAAGCTTGCCATGCTGCCGTAGCATGCTCTGCGAAACCACTTTCTCTCATGAACAGAGTCATGCGAAGTACGACATAGATTTGGATGTCAAAAACTTTGTTGTGCTCGTCAAGAGTTATCTCGCCACTGGTTCTTGCCCTCTGGGTTAGGTTCAAGCAATCCAAGTAGACGCTCTTTACTTCCTCAAACCTGAAACTGGTGAAGTTCCTCTGTATGAAATCGAGATATTTGGTCCACAATCGCAAACTTTGGGGATTCTGCTGAAGTATACTTTTCCAGCGGGATGAAATGTTTTCAGTTCTCCAAATCTCAGCAGCCTCCTGCATCATGCCAAGCAACAAGACCTCACGGCCCTCCGAATCTTTGACCTTCTCTAGAGCCTTTTCAAAAATAGAACATTTGATCTCAGCATTGCTACGTCTTTCAGCGTTGGTCAGACTCGTTCTTTTAGAATTCTGACCTAGCCCAAGCAGGTTGTCTTGGTAATTGATCAGATCAATCCAAGCCTCAAAGTTGGTTGGCTCTGCATCCGTCCTCCTAGACAACTGGACTCGTTTCCTTTGAGCTGGTTCGTCCAATACAAGAAGACGGCTGCCCGCGGTGTCTTGTGAAGACGATGTGTCGCTGTTGTACTTCAAGTCTTGATCAGCAGGCTCTTTCTTGTATCTGGCCTTGCCCTCTAAAGAGCTATATTGCGTATCATTTTCATCTGAAGACGACGCGCAATCCACAGGCAATCCGTCATCTCCTCGCCTTCTCTTCGCTCTATGTGCAGCCTCGAAGGAAACATAGTCGGCGGCAGAGTCAATGGCTGGGTCGTGTTCCTCTCGTGGCTTGATCTTTAACTCTCTTGCTCCCTTCTGATCAAGCCTCCAACGTGCATGTTTGTCTCTTTTCTTCGGCAATCCATATGTGTCGTCGGACAGCACCAATGCTTTGTCAGTACTCAGTGCTCGATCGATCCTCTGATTCATGGGTGATCCCACAATATTTCCGGCACCGAAACGGAAATATGACGCCGTTGCATATCTATGGAGGGCGCCGAAGTTGAGATTGTCGCGATCGCCTACTCGGTCAACTACGAACGACTGTGGTATGTTTTCACCAGGCCCGGGATCGTGTCCTGCAGGCTGTGATCCGATATGACGGTTCGCTTCCCTGTCAACGCTACGTTGATGGTGACCCCGAGGATGATGTCGGCCTAGGGTTTGCCTACCAGATTTCAACCTCGAAACAGACTCGTCCGGAGAGTGGTCATGGTTTTCGGGAAGCCGATTCACGTTTCCCGAAGTCCTAGTCTCTTGGTCCTGGATTCTCGACGGTGGATTTGGCTTGAAGCTTGCAAATCTGGGAGTCGCTGTCTTTTCCGCGTGTTTACCGTCAGGGTTTTGACGAGAGCTGATTGATTCAGTTGGCATACTGACGTACTTGTGGCGCCTTCACCTCTTTGAAAGCTTAGATTGCTAGGAGAAAGGAAGCAATAGCATATGTACCCAATGTCTTCCCTTTCTCGCTCGGGATTTCGCTTTGGAGAGTAATCGTAAAATAAAACGAACGTATCAGCCGTTGGCCAATTATTGAGCGTGGAACGTGAGCCTGGGACCAGGCCCGGCCCGGGCCCTCGGTTAAACCCGCGCTGCATGTATATTCATAAGTCTCCCTCGGCTCTTTTTTTTTCGTTCGGTTGATCGACGAAATGTATGGGAGCCCCAGCGTCGTTTGAATGTCATCGGTAGATAATACGGACTAGCCATCGATATCATGGCTACAGCACTGGCCTCACAGCTGGCCCAGATTCGCGCCAAGTCTACCAATCCACTCGACCTCAAAGCTCAAAAGAAAGCACATTCGCGGTCCCTTCTCTACGAACCTGGTGTCGCCGCAACCCAGGACTTCGATTCGTTGTACCAGATATGCTACGAGGGCTTCCAGGAACTCTGCCTTTTGGACTCGAGGTTCGCCGGCTTTGCCAATAATCTTTTCAGCGAACAGAGCAAGCAGGAAGAGCGAACGCAGATGACTGCTGCCCAAAACCAACAGCTTGATGTTGTCCTTGAGGAGTTCTTACATCTAGTCGGGAGTAAGCTGCTATTGAAACCGGCTCTTAAAGCGGTGGAATGGCTCGTCAGGCGATTCAGGTCAGTCAAGGGCCGCCTTTTGTCTGCCTCAACTTCTTCGACCTGACGACCTTTCTGACTAGGGTTCACCAAAATAACACTATGTGCCTGGTACTCGCCTTTCTGCCATTCCACAACGCTCCGGTATTCCCTACGATGCTCTCACTCATACCCGAAGATTTATCACCCACTCTCAGGTTTCTCCACCCCTACGTTCAAGCCCTTGCAAAGCCACCGCGTCACGTAATCGTACATGCTGCATCCACCAACCGCCAATTCTTCACCGCTATGAGTGCTTTCGTACTTGATTCCGGTCACTTAGGTTTCCAAAATCCCACCTTGGTATCATTCTGGGCGTCAGTTGCTACTGAAGCTGTGGCTGCGATGCTTGACCAGGGTCGCTCCGCTAGACGCGAGGCACAGAAGCAAAACCAAGAAGACATCGTTCGTTTCTTGTTACCTGTCCTTAATGATGGTCTCTCTGTTGATAATGTGCCGGACCTTCGGATGGGATGCTACATGATTCTAACGATCTTAGCCTCCAAAGCTAGCCTAGATGATGGTGTACTATCTGTAATGATGGAAGCGATCACGTCCGACTGGTCCCAGACTTCACATGCAGGACTGATATGCTTGGGCGTTTTGGCTGAGCAAAAGCGAACAGCCGGTCTACCCGGCAAAACCTTCGAAGCGGTCATCGCGCTCGAACGCCTTGATGACGACCTTTTGACACTCAATAAGCAGTACAAGATTGACAAGCTTGTTCTAGGTGTCGCGCTTGGTATTATTTCAAGACTTAGAAAAGCTCGAGACACAAGCGGGCTGCGGCTTTTGAGAACCTTGATGGAAGCCAATGTTATGAGTGATGCTTCCATCAAGGCTGTGGTCAAATCAGTAATCTATGAAGCTCAGACGACGGCGCCAAATCCGAATCCAAGGTTCGATGTGCAAGGGTCGTTGGCAGACCTTGTTCTTCTTATGTGCGATTCGAAAGATGTTGGGGCTGTCATACACAGCACCATGGAAGAGTCAAACTTTGACTTGAAATATCTGGAAAACAGACTCCGACGGGTAAATTATAGCAAAGAGAGCACACCTGAGCAGCTTACTGAAGATGTGGACATGGAGAATGCAGAAGGACAAATGACGACAGGCGACTTCGAGACTGTAATGAGCCGAATCCCAACACGGACAGCCTATGAGATATCTTTTCTGTCACACTCAGACTCCTACGTCTATGGCAGCCTGGCTCACGCTTTTCTCTCGATCTACACTTCTACAATGAACCTAGAAAGGTTTTCTAATCTACCGGTCCTTCGGAAGTCCCTAGGAATGACTGAGCCTCTTTTCCTTTCATTCTTTGTCCGAATATGGTGCGGCCATTGCTCAGCAACAGCGAGAACAGCAGCGATCCGGACTGTGGTGGAATACCTCAGGAAGGAAACTCTTACAGCTGATGTGCAGATGTTATTGCCGTACATACTGTACGCGCTGGCTGATACGTCTCCCAGCGTTCGCCGCGCAGCCGCAGAACTTGTCTTGGTCCTAGCGCCTGCTTATAAGAAAACGGCTGACAAGGAAAATAAAAGTACCAATCGACCAATATTGGGCCAGCAGCAAATTTATGGTCAGGGCGGTGAGACTCAAGCAGTGACATGGCTTTCTAATAAAGAGACCGACAGCATCTTGGACCTAATGGTTCCAGATCTCGAAGAATGCATGCTTGATGAAAGCCACGTATCTCAGCTCCTTTCAGATAACCTCAACGGCCCAAAGCACAGCAAAGGTTCCAACATTACGCAAAGGGAATTGAAGAAGTCTCTACGGCTAGCTTTGCTCAGCAGTATCTGTAGTCATGTTGTCAATACACCGCTATACGCCGTCAAATCTCGCCTACTTCAGATGCTAAATCAGGTGCCCAAGGTGGGCAGCACTTCGCGTACGAAGTTATTGCTTCCTTTGCTATTAAACACTTTGAAACGAGGTCAACACGATTTTGAACGTATCTGCGACGAGGAGCAGCTTGTATCATCGCAGCTACTGGACAGACTGGTCAGCATCGTTATACCAGGCGATCGTGATGGTATTCAAACCTTGAAGTCTATCATCGAGCCTCTGAATAACCTAAACTTCCCAAGTCTAAGAGCCGCAGCATTGCGCCGCCTACAGATCACTTGGGAATTCATCAAAATCGATCTCCAATCCTCGTTGGCAAAAGCTTTGTTTGAGTCAGCTGTTGGCAATGTAGAAGCTGGGGCAAATGGCAACCAAGAGGCTGAGTCTATGGAAACGTTACGGACATTGCCACTTTCTACTGCTACACTCCGATCCTTCGTAGAGAATGTGCCTTCGATTTTGCCTGCTTTACAGGACGGGGCTCCAGTGTTGAAGCGCAAGCGGACAAGTCACGGCCATTCGAATGATGCTGGCGCCCTCGATGAACGCAATCTCGCATCTGCCATCCGGCAAATTACATTTGTCCTTGAGTTAGTAGGAGATGCCAAGACTGAACGCCATCCTGAACTCTTAGGAGGTCTCTCCCAGATCATGTGTGACTTACAACAGTCTCGAAGCCATCCAGCAACAGCCACAGGCTATCTTCAAGTGCTGGCTATTGAAGGCATGCTTGCCATCGTAAAAAGAGCCGAGGTACGTATTCGGTAATGCCACGCTTCAAAGGAAGTCTACTAGGGACGCTGACTTGCGGCAGGCCCCAACAGGCTTACAGATTGACCATGCATCGGTTCGATCCGACGTTCTCATTGACTGCATCAGGACTACCACAAATTCTCAAGTGCGCAATTCTGCTTTACTGCTAGTGTCAGCTCTCGCAAAGTTTAACCCAGAATTGATTTTGCACAGCATTATGCCTATTTTTACATTCATGGGTGCCAACGTCCTGCGTCAGGATGATGATTTCTCGGCATATGTGGTAAAGCAGGTGAGCGTGTTGGGGCCATGATGTATTGAACTCGGAGCTGACGAAGGTGCAGACCATGGAATCAGTTATCCCATCTCTGGTACAGTCACTACACAAACGAAAAGATGGCCCACTTGTGGGTGTCTCCGAGCTTTTACTGAGTTTTGCCGCTGCCTACGAGCATATACCAGCCCAGCGACGGCTCGATCTTTTTGTATCACTAGTGAACAAAGTTGGTGCTGGCGACTATCTTTTCGCTTTGACCGCAATCTTGTTGGACAAGTACCCGAGCGATAGAAGTGTAGTACAGTTCGCCACTGATCTTACCAGCCGCTACAGCGTGAAGACGCGCCTCCAGGTAAAGATCCTCCAAAAGCTGCATGTAGATGGCTCTGATGTCTTGCAGATGGTGAAACAATTTTTGGGCTTAATTGTAGATGCTCGGAAACCAAAGCCAACCTTTTCCAAGTCTTTACTGCAGCTCGATGACGTTGACAGAGCTGCTTCAAACTTACTTCCATTGACTCCTGCAATCCTCGGCGATGCGAACCTGATCTCCAAGGCGTCCAGAAGACTACGCGACGGCGGCGAGGATGCTGCAAAGATCCGCGCTCTGTTTGCAAATATCCTCGAAGACACGTTCACTCTTTTGGAGCATTACAGAGGGAACAAGACATGTTGGTGGCCCAGGCGATACACTCAAACATTATCAATACTGACGATAGCATAGTGAATGTACTATGTATGCAACTTTTAGATGCATCCCTAAGATTACTACCTATATCGGAATTGATTGAAAGCATTCAAAGTTTGCTTGCACGAACAGAGAACAACGTCAGTAGATGTGTCTAGTAATTGAGACCTTATAGCTTACCCGCTTCAGATCCGCCAACAGGTACTTCGATCATTCGGAGATCGTCTCAAGGACAAAAAGCTCGACTTGAAAGCATCGCAGGCCGCGTGTCTCGCGTTCCTCCCTCATCTCGCGTCCATCATTAGGGAGTCTGCAGACGTGTCTCTAAAACACACAGCTGTTGTTTGTATAGATGGTATCGCGGAAATGTTCGGCAAGAAGGATGTCGCTGCGATCGTTGCCAGTGCCAGAATCGTTGCCGGAGACGAATGCCTGAGGGCAAGCGAAAGCAGTCTCCGAACTATCTCTATGTTGTGTCTCGCGACAATTGTCGAAGTGTCAAGCGATAGCTTTATTTCGATCTTACCGCTCGCTCTTCCTAAGGCAATGGACAGCTTGGCGACCAGCATTGGCGAAGATACAGAAGATGGTGCCCTGCACAACGCAGTCTACTCATTTTTTGGCGCTCTCATCATTTACGTGCCATGGATGGTTACAAGCGCCGATATGGACTCTGTGCTGAAGCTATCATTTGAGTCAGCTAACGCTGGAATGAGTGAAGAGTGTAATCAAAGTCGCATTGAGGCTTTACGACTCATGTCTAAAAAGGTGGAAGCGAAGGACTGCTTGGCTGCTTTGGATAGAACTTTTACGATTGCAATGACTGAGGGACCGCTGGTAAGTCCAGAAGAGGGCTCTTGAATTTGGCTTCGTATACTAAATTTGAGGCAGGCTGTTAAGGAGCATCTTGAAATCTTGCGTCTCACAATCGACCGTCAGCCCAAATCGATGATTGTTCAGCACTCAGAGACGTTGGGTGGCTTGTTTCTAAGAATTTTTGACTTACGGAGAATCCAGCTGTCACCACTTACTGGCTATAGTTATGACATGGGGGAGATTCAAGTAGTCGAAGACGCCGTCAACGAAACCGCAATCTCTATGGTCTACAAACTCAATGACGCAACGTTTAGACCTATGTTTTCGCGAATGCTAGAATGGACCACCTGTCCAACATCAAAGAAAGACATGAAAGCTATGATTCATAGGCAGACAAGCTGGTACACTTTCCTTCTCAAGTTCTTTGGCACTCTCAAGGTATGTTCGCGGAATACGACTCGAGACAGCGGTTGCTGATCATGATACTCAAGTCCATCGTCACCAGCTACGCAGCTTTCATTATAGACGACGCCGTAGAGATACTCAAGGATATCTCCCTGAATGACGAAGACTCATTACTTCTATGGCGACAGGTCATACTTACTCTCCAAAGCACCTTCGAGCACGACCAAGACGGTAAAATTCTTTCTCTGCGTTCGCATATACTGAAAGCTGACCGTCCAGGTTTCTACCAAACCCCCTCCCATTTCGCATCGATTTCGGCCGCGCTCCTGGGCCAGCTTGACAACGCCCAAAAAGCTCCCCTTGTCCTTGAGCTGATTCCTGCGATCACTGAGCTGGCGATCGCCACGGATTCCGCCACCCACCATAAGGAGATGAACGCTACTATATTGAAATGCATGAGGTCGGATAGAGCAGCGGTCCGTTTAGCCGCTATTCAGAGTGAGCGAGCCTTGACGGAGAGGCTAGGAGAGGAGTGGCTAGCATTACTGCCAGAGATGCTACCTTTCATCAGTGAGGCATTGGAGGATGATGATGAGGCGGTGGAGAAAGAGGTACAGAGGTGGGTAGTGGGGATCGAAGGGATACTAGGGGAGAGTCTCGATCCAATGCTGCAGTAAAAAGCACCTACTAGGAAGTGAGCACCGGGACTTCCTTTGAATAAGTGTTCAGAGTAATCGGTAAGGACCATCTCAGCGACACGTTAAATCGTCTTGAGATGGTCCTTTAATTAAACATTGTACAAATATGAGTGTCACCTGTCCTAAGCAGCTTGCCAGGCATCTTTTACACAGATCAAATCTCCTCCACTCTCCTCATGTATCTGTTATCTGTCTGGCTCATTAACAGCGGCTGTCGCGACCCGTTATTGGCTTTACACACAATACGACATTGCCATGAAGAAGGCCGCTAGCCAATTGCTAAGGCCTCAAGCGGGTGAGAAATCAACATGAACACGCACAACAGCGTTTCACAGGGACTCTATCCGGGTATCATTGCGCCTCATTTCTTACAGCATTCAAAGACTCTCGCTCTCCCACGATCTTCTCTCTCACGTCTCCTTCGCATGACCCCAATCATTTTCCCACTCGTCTGGCCGGAAGAATTCGGCCTCTCCAAAACCTCCCACGTCAATCATCTCGCTCTCCTTCAGCTCAAATGATTCGAGTACGGGCTTCTTCCTCGTCTTGGGCACTGCGATGGGCCTCAATTGATCCAAGTTTGGCATTCGTGTATGGCTGAATGGGGGGTAGGAACGAGGAGAGACGGGCTGCGATTCCACATCCAACTCGTCATCTTCGTCCTCGCGACGGCGTTTGTGGTTGCTCACCACGGGCACAGTGACTATGGGTCGAAGGGAATCGGAGGATGCTTTCGATTCTTGACTTGACAGAAACCCCCAGTCATCGCTATCAAACTGCAAGGGCGGGAGATCTTCTTCGGAGGGGGCTGGCTGCGTATTGTGACCACCGATCTTGAGGATCCCGCAATATGGCACCAGGCCGGTGAAGCCGCGCGATGGGGTGACGCTGTTGCGCTCCGGCGTAAGATTATTATAGGCACTGGGAACGCCGCAAGATAACTTCCGCTGCGTCTGATATCCCTCCGGAACGGATTTTCGAACACGCATTCCAACGTTCAGCAAAGAGGATTGTATGGTGTTGGGGAGGGCAAAGCTTGGTGTGTGCACTTGGGTGCCGGGTGTTTGGGCACTGTCGCGGGTAGGGTGGCCAAAATACGAGCTGATGCTAGGCTGGAAGGGACGCTTGAAGGAGCATTTTGTGGTCGACATGGTGTCGGTCTTGTACTCCGTACGGAGTATAGTGATTGCACCTTGCGGCCGATAATTTAAGGGATTGGAGCCTGCGTTGGTGGTTGCGGTGACTGGTAGTGGTGGTAGGAACGCGTTCTCCCACCACTAGCGTGTCAAAGGAGTTAAAGTGCTCTTTTGAGACGAGAAGGATAAAGTAGGTAGAGAGTCGAAAGAGCCTCGAGACCCTGCTAATTTTCAAATACATGCTCGTTCCACTGCCTCATCCGTTTGGAAATGATGTACTTTTGTCTATTCTCGATCGCAGAATATCCGGCCATTCCATTCGTACCCCCACCTTTGCTGGGCTTCTCAATGGTATCTCGCTCAGCTTTCAGCAAAGCCACATCGCCTGCCGTTCTCCATGACCCAGCGTTGGTTTCTGCGCATCCGTATGCAACAAGTCAATGGCCGCCGACAACCAATCCAGCGCCAAAGCTAATACTCACAGAAGCAAATATGAACGCACACTATCACAATTATGCGCGTTATCGTTGTGCCCATTCGACAACCTCCAACGCACACATCACTAGCACCAGAGTCGATGGCAGAATCCAAACCACGTAGCTCTGGAATAAAAGCCTTGACATTGTCCCCATGTAGACATTGTTGATCTGGCAGATCTGCGCCAATTGCAGTGCGCTGGGCGCTCCGGTGATCAAAAAGCAAACAATCACGAATATTGGGTCATCCAGTATGCTGACGGGTACGTACTTTGCGGTCACCGCCAGTAGAGGAGCCATGATGATGAATGGTAGCAGCATGCGGCTGATAATGGAGGCGATGAGAAGCTTCGTCTCTTCTTTCTCATCTTCTCTAGTATGGCTTGGATCTGCTGGGAGTGTATTGCGCGCTAGATTTCCGCCAAGCACGACCAAGATCAATGGGACGGCTACTCCTCCACTTTGCCGTATGGCACTTGTCACAGAATTCTTAAAAAAGGTGCCGTTCGCAAAGAAGAATCTTTGTAGATCCGGAATGGAGGCCACAACGATTGCTACCAGCATAGCCCATAGAGGTGGGTTCATGAACGACCAGACCCCGAGCAAGAGTCTTCCAACCACAGTTGCAATCTTGGTCGTGCACCTTTGCAATGGACCTGGCAAGGCCCCGAAAGCTGACCCGGAGGTCTTTGAAATGAAACGGGAAAATGTACAAGTGGCTTTCTTCATTGCCGTTCGACATCGCATTGGAATCCCTTTCAGACCTTGTGGGACATCCCCGTCGATCGGATCAGCTTTTGACCATACTGAAGGGAAAGACATCATCCGTCCTGCAGGTTTTATGTTACCGTTGGCTGGGGTTGGCAAAAGGTCAGGGTCTGGTCCAGACTTGCTTAGACCGCCACTCGAGCATGCTGTGGAGAATGAAGAGGTATGTTGCCGATGCGTCTCCGGCGTCTGCTGTCCTGACCTGAATTCGGATCCGTATTGGGAGCCGCTTGCATTTCCCTTGCCAGCCTTTCGGCTTTCGACCCTGGTATCATCAGAGCCGCTGACGTCCTGCTCATCTCCTTCTCCATCAGTCGATGATCCCCTCATGAGAGGCTCGCTTTCCCCCAATTCTGCCTCCCCCGTCTCAAGGCGCGAGTTGGCGTTCTCAGCAGTACCCTTGACCTTCTCCGCTGGCGCAAGCAGGACGTTGTAGCCCCAGCTCCATCTGACTAATTGTCCAAGCTGTTGAAAGATCAACAAGTACAGTATGCCGCGGGCCGCAACTTCGTCATCGTTGTCCCCAGGCACATTGTTCCAATGTAGTCCCTTAATAGTCTGTGAGAGCGATAAGACCAAGGAAATTGGCAGCGAATTGGAATTGCCAAAGACCTAACACGCGCTTAGCAACATTGACGTAGACGAAGAGCCGGATGAAGTACCCCCATGGCGATCACAAAGTTGCGAGGCCTCTTCGAAAAACCAAACGCCTTTGATACGGCGATGGAACAGAGGTATGAAATGAGTGTTTGAACTATAAAAATGAGGGGAATAATGGCAAGGTCCGCAAGTTTGTCTGTTGTAAGTTGGGAGGCTAGCTTGGTGAAGACTATAACAACAGTTAGACCTGGATGGCACAGCGGGGAGCTGACGCATACTGAGGCATGGGGTAAAGACGGTGACGTTGAGGTTGGCAGCAAACTTCTGCATCTCTGCCGTGAACATGCCCTGGCGGGCTATAATATAGCCGGGCAAGCTGACACAAACCACCTCTAAGACCGCTTCGAAGACAAGCATAGTGAGATGAGGTAGCGCGGGATGTGAGGAGTGCGGAGGAAGTGGAGTTGCCATTCCAGAAGACAACTGGGCTTGGTTCATTGCAGGCTGAGACGGCATGCCGGGGACCGCGGGGATGTTGAGATTCGAGAACGAGGTTGCCATGAAATTGGCATTGTGGAAGGCATTGGGAGAGGTGAAGAAAGGCATGGTATGACGATTTGGCTATCACACAGACTTGAGAGAGTTTACTGCCGCACTTGCTCTTTCCAACTCGGAAGAAGAAACAACGGCTCACACCTCACGTACAGGATCTGGAGGTTATCATAACAGGCAGAATATTTGAAGGAACCTGGGTTGAAGGGTGATCTAGAGAGAAACCTGAAGAGCGAATATTTATCTGTATGCAATGGATGTATCAAAAGGAAAGGGAGACAGAAATCGTCACCATCGTTGTGGCCTGGGAATGGCGCAAAGAAATGATCCGAAAATCTCATCACGCTAAAATACTCGTAGTCCCGGCTAGATGTAGCGCCCTTGAGGCTGGGAAAGCAAAAATGCATCTCAAGAACCAGGCACAGCTGGCTGGTTACTACGATAACACTTCCAGTCCTTCCCCAATGTTTGCAGACAAGTAGAGTACAGGGAATACAGGCGCAGAGAGTCAGGCATAGTGGTTTGGAGTCAGGTCCTTGTGATTATTCCTAAGATTAACCCAAAGTCTCCTGCGGGAGCCTACGCAAGCATCGACGCATGCCGAGACGAGCGCCCAAGGGATACACCCAGAGCCGACCATCAAGTACCATTTCTCTACATTGTGGTGTGAAGTTGGTGATGCAAAGGATAAGAAAAGAAGATACATAAGATTAGAGATTAGAGTACAGAATTGTTGATCAAGACTGAATTTCATCATCGGCCTCTCGGGAGTCAAGCGGAGCTTCAGCCACGATTCACTTCGTTTACTTACCTTAGTAACCCATCTTAAATAACAATATACTCCTCCTAGAGTATTTTTCATAACATCGACTTTCATGACCTCCATGCTTGAACAAACATCCTCAACGCCTATCACCTTCCTTTTTCGACTCAGTATAATCCATTTTCATATTATGACCTGATTGCCCGTTGCCCTAATTGATTCTCATCTCTCTCATCCTCCCCTACTCAACCCTTCCGTTGCCGCCATGAGCTCCTCAATTCCTCCAGAATCAACTCTTCCTTCCCGCTCACTGCCTTCTGAAAATTCCGCAACGCAAGTGGAAGACTTTGCACAGTCCCCTCCAAACCCTCAAGCTCCACGTCTGCCTTCGTTGCGCAATGCGAGTGATACCCGGTCAGCCGCCAATATGACCGCCTCCTCCACCCCTCTGGGAACTCTCAACGCCGCTCGAAGGCCCACCCTTCCCCAGAGTGCCCTAGGTTCCTCTCGTGGTAGTCAGCTTCCTCAAGACATGCAGGCGAAGATGAAGGCCTTCCATTTGTCAAGACAGGGCGCGCCTCCGCCCGTGAATCCACGCATGCCACCAAACGTCGGAGCTCAGTCCGTCTCTACGACCCAAATACCAACATCTGCCGGACCCATTCCAAGTGGGTCAATGGGCGGAAATATAGCACCTTCTGGTATCGCAAGTCCCAGTGGGCCACTCATCGGTGCACCTGGGGGGCTTAGACTTCCCCCTGGTCGACCACAAGCGCCCAACTTCAACTCGGCGCCCGCTGTTCCTGGCCTGAAACCGAATCCTAAAATGGGTGGCTTGGCAGCAAAACGAGGTCTCAACAAAGGGATGAAATTATCTGATGCCTCGGGACCGCAACTGCCTTCAGGGGGACCTGCCGGCACGGCGCCTGCCTCGGATGCCGCCACGGGAAAATGCCAAGGCCCGGGTCAAGGCTCTGGTGGTGACTCGCTATTTAGCAAGTACTCGGAATATGTGGACACCAAAACTGGGACTCTGAAATTCAAGGGCAAAGCTACAATACATGGCAAAGGTATTGACTTTTCAAGCGGCACGAGCTTCAACATCTCGCTGGACGAGGTCGACAACTTGGAAGAGCTAGGGAAAGGAAATTATGGGACCGTCTACAGAGTACGCCACAGCCGACCTCAGCTGCGCCGTCCAGGCCAAGGTCTAAGTGGCAATCGACCTCTGCCGTCGATGGCAGCGAGTTCGATGATCGCAAACAAGAATGACGATACGTCCAATGGGAACTTGTCCAAATCGGCGACTCCTGGCAATACGACAGGTATCGTGATGGCTATGAAGGAGATTCGGTTGGAGCTAGACGAGGCCAAGTTTGCCGCCATTATCATGGAATTAGATATACTGCATCGATGCATATCGCCATTTATTGTGGATTTCTACGGGGCCTTCTTCCAAGAAGGCGCTGTCTATATATGTATGGAATACATGGACGGCGGATCGATTGATAAGCTGTACGGAGACGGTGTGCCAGAAGGCGTTCTTCGGAAGATTACAATGTCTACGGTCATGGGTCTCAAGTCGTTGAAGGAAGACCACAATATCATCCACCGCGATGTGAAACCAACTAATATTCTAGTCAATACCAGGGGCCAAGTCAAGATCTGTGACTTCGGCGTTAGTGGAAACCTGGTTGCGAGCATTGCAAAGACAAACATTGGCTGTCAAAGCTACATGGCGCCCGAACGAATTTCAGGCGGAGGTGTCGCTCAAGCTGGCGCGAATCCAGGCGGGGGGACTTACAGTGTACAAAGCGATATTTGGAGTCTTGGTTTGACCATCATTGAATGCGCGTTGGGACAGTATCCATACCCACCTGAGACATATGACAATATTTTCAGTCAATTGAGTGTAAGTTAGATGACCTCGCCGCCGAGAAGTAGAACAATCTGACAAGCCTAGGCTATTGTGGATGGCGAGCCGCCCGACCTGCCAACTGATAAATTCTCGGAAGCCGCCAGGGACTTCGTCAGGAGAACACTAAACAAGATACCCAAACTCCGTCCGAATTATGCAACTCTTTTGCAGCATCCTTGGTTAGCACCCCTTCTGAAACCACCAACTATCTCGGAGGAAGATGAAGACCTTGTGGATGAGGAGGCCGCTCAGGAGGCCGTGGCCCCGGGCGCTTTCGACAGGGAGGTCGCGCAATGGGTTTCAAGTGCTATGGAGCGGAAACGAAACGGAACAATGGGCAAGAAAGCTAAACCGGCTCTCCATGCTGCGCCGTTGAATGCTGTCCCGAGCCCGTTACCCGATGCCACATATGACTGAGCAAACAATCAGCTGCAACGCAGACTCGAAGCCTTGAACTTTACGTCGTATCATCTCGTCCAGCTCTTCTACACAGCCTAGCAAAGCTATACTGAATAATCACTTGAGCCTACCAAGGGACGAATGACATTGATTTTACGTGACCTTCTGGGACATTGAGAGCGTATTTGATTCGAATGGCTTCGATCATGGGAGAGCCCTGGTTTCAAATGCACTCTGTTGGGTGGCATTTAGATGAGCCTTCGGTGCTTATGATTATTACAAAGATGTTTGTGCATGCTGATCGGAGACCTCATTTGATGGGCAGCTTTCTCGTCCTAGTGCCGACGCTCAAAGCGTTTGAACATCGGGGACGCAGAAAGTTAAAATTCGGCCTGCAGCTATAGAGCTATCATATATAATGCCTCGTGTTGTCCCAGATCTTGCAACCAGTCAGTCGCCCTCGCCACTTCAAGCAAGCAGAATGCTCTTATAGGTTCCAGCATGCAAGAAACGAACACTTGTACGATACGGTGGTGTACACAATGGGGCAAGTCATGGATGGAATTGTGCAATCATAAGATGTTATGATGGCCACGTCCAAACAGCGCGTGGACGAACCAGTCACATATCATCATAGATAACAGCCCCACCTTCTTCCTTCTTGCCCAAAAAGTAGCGGCAATAGTTGGGCCACAAGTCCTGTTATTCATTGGCATGTTTCCTAACCTTGCGTCTCATCGTCTTCTCTGCAATGCGGATATAATAACTCGATCGTTTGTGGATGGATATTTAGATCTTCAACAATAGGAAGGTTTAGCAACATTTTTCATAACATTTTTTATAATGTTTTCAACGCGGGAGTAGCCCTATCCCTCGGCCGGTAACTTAATAGAGTAATACCTCGGGCGAAGCAAAATACTCACCATTGATAGTACTTACTCGTACTGTCCAGAAGTGAGCTACCTCGCTTAATAGCGCCGGGAGAGTTAACCAGTCAAACTACTCAGTTCTCCGCGAAAATCGTAGTTTGATTGGTCAACTCTCCCGGCGCTATTAAGCGAGGTAGCTTACTTCTAAACAGTACGAGTAGTTTCATAAGAAAACTATCAAAATATAAGGTAGAATACTTAGTTATATTGACTAAAGAGTTCTATGAAAGAAAAGAGTAATTAGATATAAATATACTAAGATATATCATATAACTATATTATATAATCGCCAAGACGTTAAAAGTTATATAATTTAAATTCTAATACTCTCCTTTATATATATTCTTTTATACGCGAAATTTAATAAATATAAAGTTTAATACTAATAATATTAAAATTAGATAGATAAGATAAAAAAAGACTTAGTCGATTTTTATTAGAGTTTAACATCGAATAGCTAAAGTAAAGTTTAAATTAAATAATTAAAGTAAGTCTAGTATTAAGTAATTAAAGTAAAATCTATATTGAGTAATTAAAGTAAGTTTAATATTAAGTAGTTAAAGTAAAGTTAAAGTTAAATAATTAAAGTAAGTCTAATATCGGATAGTTAAAGTAAAAAGTTAAAATCTAAAAACGACTATATTAAACTAACATCGCTACCAAATTCCACTTTTTATTAAAAAACGATTTTTCAAAATTTTTATTTTTAGATTATTTAATATATATTAAAAATTAATTAATTTAAGATTAAAGAATATTTATAAGAATAACTAAATAAAATAATTAGAAGAAATTCTTTATTTTATATATTACGATCGACTATAAGACTTCTATAAGACTATTTTAAATATCTAATTCTTAATAATAATAGCTAATAATAATAATAATATAAGTAAAAATATTTTAAAAGAGCTTTAAAGATTTAATAGCGATAATAATAATAGCGTTAAAAAAATAGCTATTTTAATATAAAATAACGAGTTTATAAAGTATTAAATCTAAGATTTAGCGAGTAGCTTAAATAAATTATTTAAATTACAAAGAT